CCGGCGCGAAGTCCTGACTTTAACCCATTAGATTTTTGTGTTTGGGGTTATTTAAAATCATTAGTGTACGATCAAACGGTAGGCACCCGAGATGAGTTGATAAATAAAATTATGAATGCCGCCGAATGATTTCGAAATGAAAATATGTTTTTTTTTAAATTAGACGATTCCTCAATAAACGCATTTCAAAGTGTATTGAAGTTAACGGGGGACATTTTGAGCAATTGCTGTAGAAAATGAATGTTTTATTGTTAGGGATTAAGATAAAAAGATCCTATTGTTAAAGAATGATGTTTAGTAAATATTTTTTCACCTAGATACTGATTGTGGCTTATTTTTTGAAAATACTGCATTTTGCGGTGTAATCGCAAATATCTCGGAAACAGAGGCTTGTTTGGACATCGACTAAGAATACCTTTTTTGTACCAAATTAATAGGCGATTAGATACAACCAACTTAGAAGTCAAAATACCGGGTGACCAAAAAGTTGAAACAATTTTTTTGCTCAGATATCGCCTTAAGTGGTTTTTTCTACAAGTTCATCAAAATCTGACGACAGACTTGGATTTCTTATGCTCAAAAACCCCTGTATACCAAATTTCGTTAAAATTGCAATACGACAAATTTCGGACAGCACAAAAGAATAAAAATCAACCTTTTATGAAAACTATTTAATTATTTAAATAACAATTTAATAGAGAGAGAGAGAGAGAAAAAAAAAGGTTTCCGTTGAGCGGGTATTTCGGGCGGTCGTGTGCAAAGCCCGAAGGGTGAGTTCGTTCGAGCGCCACTAGCTTTCGCAGCAAAACTAGAACACTTAGCGATGGAATGCTGCCGAAATACCTACTCAATTCTTTTACCGTGATAGTACGTAAACTGACTTGAATGATGATACAAAAAAAGGAAAATGGTGAGCTTAATAGAGAACAAGAAAACGCGGTTTGACGACCACAAACTACCGTCTGCTAACCGTTTGATCTGTAACCTACGTTAACTACCTAATTAAATGAAAAGTTCC